AGCGATATTTTTTCTCTATAGATAAGTTGAACACCGTAAATATGTACGCAAAGATTAGACATAGTATAGTAGTAATAAGTTATGCGTTCGGTGTGCATATTATGAAGTAGAGAGAATAAGAGAAAAATATCAAATGCCCTTGGCAGGATTCGAACCCTTTATCGGACTAGAATACCGAAGACGTGGGTTCGGGGGGTATACCTTGGGGACGTTATATGCATTAAAATAAGAATGTCAAAGTATGAAAAGAATAAAGCAAGACTGCAAGTACGAAGATTCTTGATAAATAATTCGGTCATCACACTGCAGATCCCTAAGGAAGAACCCAACCGACTACACAAGAAAGACGAGAATACATTATCCCGCTTCCAGTATCGAACTGACTACACAAGAAAGAACGAGAATACACCATCCCACTTCCAGTATCGAACTGACTACACAAGAAAGAACGAGAATACATCATCATCCCGCTTCCAGTATCGAACTGACTACACAAGAAAGAACGAGAATACACCATCCCACTTCCAGTATCGAACTGACTACACAAGAAAGACCTAGAATACATCATCCCGCTTCCAGTATCGAACTGACTACACAAGAAACAGAAAAGACGATCCCGCTTCCAGATAACAACAGCCCAACCTATTATTATTCGAATAAAGTATTTTGAGATAACAGAATGAAATGTGGCTCATAATATGGATTAGCTGTACAAATTCTACAAGCACCGGACTCCTAAATACCTCAACTAGCACTTTCACGAATCCAACACAATTTCCAGCCTCGATGGAGAAGATGTATGGATGTTTTTTTTCCACAATTAATGATTAAGTCGAGGGCGACAGGACAGAAGAATTGGGTAATAATAATAATAATAATGATGATGATGATGATGATGATGATGATGATGCTGATGCTGCTGCTGCTGCTGCTACTACTACTACTACTACTAATAATAATAATGCCTTTATTAACATTTCCACGTAGTGGCTCTTCTATGTTAATATAATAATACGAAATAAATAAACTTTATATTTCTAGTTCGGCTATCTTGAATTACAGCAGTCAACAAAATGGAGCATGCGTAGACATAATCTTCTGTCACGTGATCTGCTAGCTCCGCCGTCTCATTACTTGACAACATAGTGACATTGATTGACATCTGGTAATTGATAATGAATTGAACTATGAATGTGAACCCTATAGTAGATGCCCGCAGAGGTCTCTTGGGTAAGATCCTAAAGACTCCTGGGTACTATTGCGCAACATGTCCATTTTGTCGGGGAGGAATCAGAAGACAAAAGTTTTTTTAAGTGACCAATTTACCACAGGAGACCCGCTAATTAATATTGATAAATATGTTTGAGTTTGTTTTCATAACTGATCTTTAAGGTTATATATTTGTTGAGTTTATTCTCAATCAGGAAAAACTAGCTAATGACACTTATGGCGCTACGCGTATGGCCACCGCATACCTCTATGTGACGGGCTTTTATACGTTAAAATCAATAGATTTAATTTTTTTTGTGATTATCGATTGGTTATCGAATAACCGATATCAATCCATGTTGGTTAACCAATTTTTTGATGGATATCGATTTATCGATTGGATTTCAAATCATCGATTTCATCGATTGGCCAGCCTTGGAATATGTCTGTCCCGAGGCCCTTGATCAAGTTGAATAAATATTCAGGCTAAGAGACGGTGACAAGCATAACTTTTGCATTAGATCAGTTTCTTTTGGCCTCGGAAACCAAAATGCTTCGTTGTTATACCGAATATGAGCTGGTATGATCGAGCAAATGCTTATAACAAAACATTGCTAATTATCCATGCTTTTATGCAATTTTTATAGTCTATTAGTAATACAGTTGCCGGCTGCAAGCTGAAGCTGAATTGCCTAAAACCTTACATTATGTTGTAAATAAGATAATTGAATGATAAATTATAAACACTATTGCAATATATATATTGTAATTACTATTACCTCCTAATGACTATTACTATATATGAAACTATTCTTAACTATATTGTTTTTTTAAGCAGTGTATTCGCCATTCCGAAGTTGAGAGAAAAACTGAGTCGATTTGGCATTGCATTGCATTGTGGGGCTGATTGATGTTAGGAAAAAATATCCTTACAAACAATGCACTACAATACCCACTCGACCTAGTTTTTCACTCAGCCTCGGAAATGCTAATACTCTCGATAACTCGATAGATGATAGAGTTAACTTTTCAATAAATTTGAAAATAAGAAAAATGAATACAAATGTTAATCAATATTGCTAATTAGTATTTTTACACAAGTGAATATCATAAATCCGGCGCGCTCATTAGTCATAATTTACGTCTTTATTTATGCTGCTATATTCACCTACAGGTATTGAATATAGCGCACACGCTTGTTTGTTGATTTGTGCCGCTTGCAAAGATAAATAAAATTTGAGAAAAAAGAAAGAAAAAAAAAAACTTTCTCTTCAATATTTATTATATTCACTTCGTGTTAAAAATACTAAAACTACTAGAAATAATAAAATACTAAAAATACTCAGGCGAAGCAAATATCGAGAAATATTTACGTCGCCGCTCGGTAAATATTTTCCGATATTCACTTCGCCTTAAGCGAAGAATTGTTAAATATATATTCTAATAGCTATCAGTATGGTATGGTATGGTATGGTGTGGTGTGGTGTGGTGTGGTGTGGTGTGGTGTGGTGTGGTGNTGGTGTGGTGTGGTGTGGTGTGGTGTGGTGTGGTGTGGTGTGGTGTGGTGTGGTATGGTATAGTAATGATCTATCGCAAATCCTGCGCTCTCATTGGCTGACGTACTAGTGATCTATTAGTGATAGACCATTACAAACGAAGTGTAAGAAAAAATTAGCAACCAAACATCAAATTGACTCGATTTTTTTTCTTTCTTCTTTTTCTGACACCTCTGTTTATTTATTTAATCCTTAAATTAGCAAAATCCTTAAATGCTCAGGGGAGCTATATTTTTACGGCTGAGTATTGGAAAAAGAATATAAACTGCAATAATGAAGTTTACATTGCTAATTATCCATAACATGCTTTTTTGTAATTTGTAGTTTCATATGACAACCTCCTAGTAAAAACTCAATGATATTTATTGCAAAATCTTACTTGTTGTCGTTAACACGAGCAAATTTTGTTCTTGGCAATTTTTACCTATCAAGGAAAAACTAAACTCAGATTTTCCTTGTCAAGGCAAAATTAACAGTTTTCTCTATCTACACGAACAAGTTTTTCTTTTTAAGGAAAACTTGTGAAGGAAAGAATTCTCCGTGTAGGTGCGAGATGGGAACTAAAAATACCGCTTCCTTCTAAGATTGAGATGTATATTTATATATTGACTGGAAATATTCATTGCAACCATATGAAAAAAGAGCTCAAAAAATGGAAAGTCTGGAGCTCAGATTTTTTTTGACCTGTAATATTTTATATGGTTTGCTATGAATAATGTCATTTCATAAATTTTCTCATTACTCTTCATCTTCTAAGATATATATATATATAGCATATAAAACTCAGAAAGAAAAAAGAGGGGGAAAAAACCAAATAAAATGGAAGAAATAATGGACATGGAAAAAAAATGAAATGAACAAAATAATAATAGTAACAGATTTTTAAATCATAAACTCCGAATGGTGATATTTTAGCACATGTCAAGCCCAGGGATATCATTCAATGTGTCATACCGATAAAAATATGTTACTGTAAAATAATTAGCCAATTCTACTTTACACACAAGACACCAGAACCATACGTACTAACTAATAAGTGTATACTTATACTGGGTATAAGTATTGAATGGTCTATAGTGAACAGCACCATGCACTTGGAAGCGGTTTCGTTTGTAGACTCTGTTCTTAAATGTGTTTTTCTTCGAGAACTTGCCGGAAATTGAACTTGGTAATCAATTACTCGTCATACTGCATAACTTTAGAAGAGCAATTGGATCCCATGGGGGGTACCGTGAGGAAGTTATATGCATTAAAATGAGAATGTCAAAGTGTTTCTTGAAGAAAATTTCCAAGTTGTTCACCGCGACGTTCTTGTGTGACTCGTAACAACTCGGCAAGATCAGTTCACCCAAACAAGTCTGACTGCTGAAGTCATAAGAAATGAATTTATTCCCACAGAAAATTTTTATACGCAAATTCGCTCATGTTTTTGAACTGGTCTGTTTGTGTTTTGTGCCCCCCTTTGTAGCCGTTTTGTACTAAACGATACCACGCCGGCAATATTTTTTAACTTTAGACTTTATCTTAGTAAAGACACCGATCGGATCCGATGTCTGCCCACATTGCAGATCCCTAGGACAGGACTGCTGTTAGGTATGAACTTCTTTTAGTAATTATGCTATTTTAAGTGTATAATTGTGTAAAAATTGTTTTTAAAGACATTTAGGATTTTGGTACTTAACATTATCAGAAACTGCAAGTAAAAATATAATATGATGTGAAATCTCAGAGCGACAGAGCAAAGAAAGACTGAGATATATATCCTAGTATGTCTGGATCCAGTTTAAAATAAGAGAAAATGTATGGGGTTTAAATACCCCATATTTCTATTTTTAAAGCTCGGACCAACCTTACAGTTGGCAGAAATGTAGGCAATGGTTTGTTCTCTTCAAATATGAACATTTCAAAACTGAATTGCAAACTTTGTAATTTGATGACGTCACACTTCGGTACTCTATTTGACTTGAGACGCAGGATGGGGATATGTTGAAACGCCGGGGGCTACTTTGGTAACCCTTTCCCCTTCACCCATCCCTTGAAAACCGCCCTTGTTTTTACGAGGTTAGCACTTAATAGCCAGTGGCCCTCGTTCCATGATCGAATTGGAATTTAGGAGTTGATTTTTGGAAGGGAGGAAAACCGGAGAACACTGAGAAAAAACCCCTTGCCAAGAATGCAGACATTTTTTGATCGCGATGGAAAGGTGGGAAGCATTTACAAATTAAATTGTCAACTCTCCTTGTTTTGTATTTTGGTGATAAAGTTGTTTACATTGTACAAATATAGCGATAATAGTGGTAGTATTGGATAGGATACTGTTGGTTCAGGATTCATAACTTCGACTTGACGGCCTTCGGTTGGAACTGCCTCATCTTCATAGCAAGGCCCATGTTGCCTTTCAGCTTCAGGTGACCCTTAAAAAACGCCTTGAAAAGATAAAAATAATTATCAATCAGTACAATTTGATGAGATTGAGAGGAGAAGGAGAAGGAGAATGAGGAAAACTTAGTAAGAAGCTAAGAGATCCGGTAAAAGAGCTGCAGGGTGGCAGTTCAAAAGGAAGGGTGAGTAAGGTAGAGAAATAGGCGTAAGAGTATTATTCGTTTGCAATAGACGTCATAGCCGCCATGTTGGAAGAATTTGACAAAAGATTTTTTAATAAATTCCTTTGTTATATCTTCCAACATGGCGGACATCCCTTTTGTTATTGTGCTCTCTTGGGATTGATTGCAAACCAAGAATAAGAATAAAAATATATCGATTATAAACTTACCGTTTGTGGGTTTAATTTGCCTGTCATTAGCTTCAAGAAGTTATCATCGCTTATTGTTATGGTAACATCGGCTTTATCTAAAACAAGAAAACAGAAAAAAGCATTTGAATTTATCAATGCGTCTGATTATTACTCCTGGAGAGCAAGATCATCCTATGAAGAGACTAATAGAAGCTTTGCACCATCATGTGATGGTAGCCACGACAGGAAGGAAGGAACAATATCCAGTTTTGAGTTCTCTGTTGCTCAGGGTTAGCCTCGTATTTGTGTAGAATATTCACGTGTTCCAGTCAAGGTCCGTGGAATTCCAAAGTGTTTGTGTTGTTGAAGTTGTGCATTCTTTACTTCACCCTTGGTATTTGTGAATTTGAGACACTGATCCGAGGCTAGGCCTGAGTAAATGAGTCTGTAGTCAAGGAACACAGCGGTAATTTGGAACTCAAAAAAGATCAATTGAATCTGGTCTGATCTGATTTACATGAGAAAGAATTCAGTTTCCCAGGGAGAAAAAGAAATTATTATTGTGGCTCCTGTCATCGCTGCCATCACGTGACAGTGCAAAGCCTCTATACAACAGCGGCGAGTACCTCTATTGCTGGTTACGAAAATATCCTATTTAGTAGGCCACAATCTTACCATTGGCACCAAATTTGACAGCCCCTTTTCCATTCTTAGCATCCACTATCCACACGCCCTCTTGACCATTAGGTCCCTTCTGGATCTTGAAACAAAACACTCCTTTGACCTTCTTCACGTAATTTTCTCCGTCCTGCAGAGTAGAATATAACATGATTATAATGATGATGATGATGCTGAAGATGATAACGATAATGACGGCAATAATGTTGATAATATGTATGACTGTGAAAAGTCGGTGCTGTATGCGTGCCTTGCAGTGACCATGATGTTTTATAGAATTTTGATTAGAGGATTTTTTTCTCGCGTAATGTGATTGGTCTGGCAGTGCCGTGACCTTGGCGTGACCGTGTCCAGGCCGTGTTCATGTCGGGTTTCGGGACTTTGATTGGATGGAGAGTAAATTCTCGTACAATGTCATTGGGCTGGCGTATGCCTTGCTGTGTCATGACCGTGTTCGTGCCGTGATCTCTTCACAGTCATATACCTAAACTGCTCTAATGACAATGATGAACATGTCAACCACTGTCCGTGTCGTGTTATCGACGTACAACCTTAGCTTGCCTTTTCTTCCCCTTATTCCTACTGACCTTTTCCATTTCTTTCTGGATTTCATCAAAAACGGCTTTGGCCTTGAAGCCTTTGGAAGAGGAGGCAGACGTGTGGACAGACACTGGACGAAACCTATAGAAAAAATTTTTTTTTACTTAAAGGTCCAATTAATATTAGAGCAAAAAATGCTTCAATTAATTCCCTTATCTTTTTTATACTAGAGCGGTTATCATARTAGTAGGAAACGATACGGAAAAGTCGTAGTCGTCCTGTAGCCGTACCGTATCTTACCGTAATATAATCCTAACTACGAGTTTTAACGGAATAAATGACTGCGAAACCATCGTAAGCCATTCTAATGCTACGGCATGTCGTACAGTCACTACCGTATGCTTACCACTTATACGAAAAGCGCTCTAATAACTTTTATCCAACATTTCCTTCAATAAGGTTAGAGCATGGCACAGGAATCGCCAGGGCACGCGTTACAATATCGTTCAAGACACAGAATGTTTTCTGAGTCTTTCAATTTGCAGCTGAGTAAGTTGCTTCATATACTGCGAGGATCAGCTCAATTTGATACATTTCCTTAAATGTCGAAAATACCTCCTCTGGGGGAATCCAAGTCGATATAAAGCAACAATAACAGCGCCTCCCAAACCCAGGTTATGCTGTAGTCCAAGTCTTGCTCCTGGTACTTGACGTTTGCCACATTCACCGCGGAGCTGAAGACATATCTCGGTACATTGAGCCAGGCCTTAACGAAAACACAAGTACAAAATGAGTTTTGATCTCGCACAGAGGGTGCTCCATACGGTAGCTGGAGAGAGCCCCGTCTGTGCATACTACACTAGTAAAAAGGTACCTTTTGTACCAAGAGGGCATTCCATGATGCGGCAAGAGAGAGCCCCATAAACTGGCCACACTAGTAATAAGGTACCTTTTGCACCAAGAAGGTGCTCCATACTGTATCAAGAGAGAGCCCCATAGACTGTTCCACACTAGTAATGACTTTAGCAAGGGAGAGCCACCTACACTGTGCCACTCTGGTAAAAAGGTGCCTGTTGCAGGAAGGTGCTCCATGCTTAAGCAAGGGAGAGCCCCATGGACTGTGCCACACTAGCAATAAGGTACCTATTGCACCAAGAAGGTGCTCCATACTGTATCAAGGGAGAGCCCCATAGACTGTGCCACACTAATAATAAGATACCTATTACACCAAGAAGGCATTGCATACTTCATTAAGGGAAAGCCCCATACACTGTGCCACTCTAGTAAAAAGGTGCCTGTTGCACCAAGGTGCTCCATACTGTAGCAAAGGAGAGGCCCAAGCACAGTGCCACACTAGTAATAAGGTGCCTGTTGCACCAAGAAGGTGCTCCTTACTGTAGCAAAGGAGAGGCCCATACACCGTGCCACACTAGTAATAAGGTACCTGTTGCACCAAGAGGATGCCCTTTCGATATAAGCCCGCCACTTGGATTAATAACATATTTTCCTCCATAGGTATTGTCCCCACGGTCAATAAACTCGCCTGCTTTGCCTGAAATGTCGAATGGAATTATTAATCTCTTGCTATTGAGAGGCTTTCATGTATTTTTTGGGGGAACAAAAAATTCATGATCAATAAAATATTAATTGGACGTACATTTTATGTATGCATTAGCCATTTCAAGGTTGAGAAAAAGACTAAGTCGAGTTGGCATTGCAGTGCATTGAGGGACYGTTTAAGGAGACATATTTCCAAGATGGCGTCTATTTTCGTTCCCTAAAACATTCCCAAAATGCACTGCAATGCCAACTCGAGTCGGTCTTTTTCTCAACCGGGGAATGGCTAATATGATAGAGTGATTTTCATAAACCCGTGAAATAAATGTTAGGATAAGAATCATTAAAACAAACTAGTACGAGTTATTGCTCATTAGACTTTAAACAACGAAGTAATAAAACACAGTCAATAATCTTTCACTGCAATAGAGTGCACGCACTAAACCCGTGAATAATATTTAGTACTAATTAGTACTATTTCATACAGAATTCTTTGTTTCCTATTGTTTATTTATCACCATTTAGTACTAAAAATTAGTATTTGTTTCACGGGTTTAGTGCGAGCACTCTACTTAGTTGTCTCGCCAATAACCGCTATTACACATTAATATGCGTTAATAGAAGTTAATAGCTAAATTTTGTTTCACGGGTTTATGAAAATCCCTCTATAAGCTGCACATTCCTTACATTACATTTGACATGTGCAAATGTTTTAGATTTGCTCCTAAACGAGGCTAATCCTGTACAAACAAGTCTTTACTTAGGGACCCCATGACATTCATGTTCAATGAAAGAGCAAAAGCAGTATCCAACATCTAGTAAATAGTAAATGAAACAAAGGATTCATTTACTCCATTCTTTAATACGAATAGTATTTCGACAGTAACCCACGACGACCGCTTAGTTTGAACGCTTCGTCCTATTAAATGTAGAAATCTAGGTTTGAAGTAGCCTTTTTCCATTACCAATGTGTTTATGAATTGCTTAACGCTGGAGCTCTCGGCGGGGGCAATTTTCATAGCATCAACCAAGATCAACCATGGAATAAGAATCTAGCCAGAGGGCATTCAGTGACTATTTTAATTCCCAAGCATAGGTCTGCAGAAGAGTTTTAGAACTAATTAACTTCATTGCATTTATAAATCCTTTTATACACATATGAAAACATATTTTCCAAGTATTTTTCTTATATTTCTAGTTTCGTAATAAAGATCTAGATTTAGTGGCAGGAGACCGTGAAATTATTTTTCTGCTTGACTACAGGCTCATAAAACACAAACCCACAGAAGCGGTGTCAAGCAGTGACATGACAACATAGAGAGAGCGAAATCGTTGATCACTGGGAGCCCACGAGGATCTGTATTCGGGTTTTTCCATAAAACCTTACAAGCTAAATGCAATACTCCAGTTTCGAGTTCTCTTTACTCAGCCTTAGTCTCGGTTGTGCGTTATAATATTCAGCTCTCTTCAACCATATCAACTTATATCGTTCCGTAGTGCGTACCTTCCTTCCTTACAATACAATGCGCCTTAATGAAAGAAAATAAGACAATTGAACTCAATAGAAGGCTAAGACTGAGCAAAGGCAAACTCGAAATAGGAGTATTTCATTTGTGAGTTAGCCGTATCCTCATTTTTTGAGGTCGTTTCAGGTTATTTATAAAATCTGAAGGGTTTTTTTAAAGCAGTATTTATGTTACGTTCTGTGGATTCCTGACTTGATTAGTTTTTACTATTTTATGAATCCCAGTACCATCTATCTGTAAGTGTATATGTAATCAGTGTAAAGTTTGTAATTTATGGTGTGAATAAATTGATTGATTGATTGATCGATTGTTAAAATACAACACTTCCAGAAAATTCCTTAAGCATGATCAGTCAAGCAGTAAAATTCCTAAGAATGATAAAAATATACGTGGCAAAACATTGAATAATGGCTGCGGTAAACACCTATGTAGAGGACTTCGAGAAAGAGTTAACTTGTTCCATATGTCACGATATATTTACCGACCCCAAAACTCTTCCCTGTCTTCATAGTTACTGTACACAATGTATTGCTCAGTGGTATGCAAGAAGTGGGAATCCATTTATCAAACAAATGGAGTGTCCAATGTGCAAGACGACGATAGATGTACCAGACGGCGATCCTTCCAAGCTTCGTTCTTCATTCTACCTCAATTCTCTTCTTCCATTACTTCATGCCATGAAAAGTGACGCCAACCAACCAATATTACCTGTCTGTGTCAGCTGCGAGCAACCTAAAGTCCTGGTTGCATTTTGCCCACAGTGTGAAGGCTCCATATGTGAAGAATGCATCAAAACCCACGAGAGCATCAAACAACTTCGAGATAATCATCAACCGACGATGTTTAAGGACTTTAAGCAAGAAAACGTTGCCAACTATATGAACAAAAAGATATTCTGCAAAGAAAAATTTCACGAAGACAACAAGCTGGAATACTTCTGCCAAGAAGATAGTTGTAAACAAAGTGTGTGTCAAAAATGTGCCACTTTGTATCATCAAAACCATCGAATGCAGAGCTTAGAGGGGGCTGCTCTAGAGGTTAAGAAAGGCTTACAGCAGGATATTGATGGTGTTGAAGGAAAAAAAGAAAAATACGAGCAAGAATTAAAACATTCCGAGCAAAACAAGGAGAGAATTGGACAAGAGATTGAGCTGGCTAAGAAAGAGGTTCGCCGTGCAGAAGAAATGATTTGCAAGACCGTTAGAGATCACAGTACAGCGATGATCAGTGCTTTGGATCAGACACTACAGGAACAAACTGCAGCAAATGATCAAGAACAAAGGGATATCAACAGTAACATTCGATTACTATCAGAGCTGCAGCGTCAATGGCAGACTTTAAAGGAAAGAGGAGTGCCATACGAGATAATCGAAAGCAAGGAAGCGTTTCAAATCAGAAGCCGTGTTTTATTGGAAACACCTTCCGTCTTGCACAACAAGTCAATACAGCGTGACATTACAGTTTGTTACGTGACAAGTGAGCAATTTCTTCAGTCGTTACAGAACATCGGAAAAATTGTGAAGAGCGTGACGGACCCTGCTCGGTGCACGATTGAATCAATAAAGAAAGCTCCTCGCGGTTTTATTAACAAGTGCAAAATAATCACCAGAAATACAGAAGGAGAAGTGTCCCCCACAAGAATCGAGTCTATCGATGTTAGAATCAAAGATGGGGAGGGCAACGAGGTGGAAAAGAAAGTATCTGAAGAGCAAACTGGGAAATACCGTGTGAGTTATAAACCTCAGAAAAACGGGACGCACGAAATACAGGTGAAAATTGGAGGGGAACCGATCTGCAACTCACCACAAAAAGTGAACATACTAGAAGTTACGGAGACGCTTAAATCTGAGAAAATCTTCGGAGAAGGAAATTATAATGGAGGACAGTTACAATGCCCACGTTCGATGGCAGTAAGTGAAGGCGAAGAGTTAGCTATTGCTGATCGCGGTAACGACCGAATTCTGATATTCAGTCTTGATGGAAACTACTTAAGGGTGTTTAACGATGCAGGACTATGTCATCCATTTGGAGCGTTCTTTAATGAAGAAAGAATAATTGTCAGTGATGGTACAGATGGTGAAGGCAGGATACAAGAGTTTGACTTGAACGGTACTTATGTAAGAACCATCTACAAACCTGACCAATGGTTCGCACCGAGGGGAATGTGTGTTAACGATAATAAAGACATCGCAGTGTGCTGTCTGGGAAAACAAGAACTGGGTATCAAACCAAGTATCAAGGTGTTCAGTAAACAACGAATAGACTTTGATATGCCTGATAATAGCGAACAGCCTCAGTACATCACCTATGGTAATGAAAAATACTTTGTATCCTACTTGAACACATACTATGTTCGTGTTTTTGATGTGAACGGAGTTTTCTTGTACAAGTTTGGGGGAAAAGGAGAAGGAGACGGTCAGTTTAACGGTGTACGTGGACTGGCTGTTTATGGTCCAGACATGATTCTTGTCTGTGATAGTGGCAATCACCGTGTTCAACTTTTCACACAAGAAGGTCAGTTTATAAGGTCATTTGGTAGCCGTGGTACAGGTGTTGGTCAGATGACGCATCCTGTTGATGTAGTGGTTACAGCTGGTGGTCGAGTGTGCGTGTTGGAATGGAGTGGTAATAGGGTTCAGATATGGTCCTAACGGTTTCCATCTAGATGATTACAAACATGGAAGAGGACACGATCACCAAACAAGAACATGAACTTCCAAGGTTTCACTACCACGAGCCTAGTGATAAGTTTTACATGACTAATAATCAAAGACTTTAATTTTAAAGACTAGCTAGCGAGTAAACTAGTTCAAGTTGTCTCAAACTCATTCTCGTACCCAGACCCTTCTCAGCGAAAGCGAAAGATGGAGAGTCTCGGTACGAGAATGTCTTGAACTAAATAGATTAGGGTTACGGTTACGGTTTAGCCCAAGGAGGATCCAGGGCTATCCCAAGTGCCTTTGCGTGCTTATTACAATTATTTTAGTTTCTTGGCCTTAACTTTTTTTGGTTCTAACCGTTTTTTGGTTTTAACCAGTTTTTGTACATTTTTTAAATTATACTACTAATCCTAATAATACGAATACCAAGGTATTGTTTTAACATTTTGATGAAGACTTGTTTGATTAATTTGGCAAATAAAAGTAGCCAGTTGTAGGGATTCTACTGAACCAGTGTTTTGACAAGTACAGTTGCGTTTTCGCCTAATAAGTATTTTTTTTATTAATTTGTAAAATACTCCATTCTCATCCATACTCCATTGATTACAGACTCGTGTACTCAGGGTTAGCCTCATTTCAGTATCGACAAACCTACAAACCTTTCCACAGATTTGTACAATTTTTTTAGTTACTTTTTCACGTATACACCTATTTCGAAAATCGTTGTCGCACCAAGAGCCTCAAGTAACAAGCCAAGACTCCAGAGAACGTCGGTACTTTTAACTATAATTGATTTATTCATGGTCTCCACTAATTATCATCTCAAGCAGCCTTGCTTGGAGCAATTTGTGAAGTCAATAAATGAAAATGCACCATAAATAAACTAATTACAGCTAAAAGTACCTGCGTTCTCTGCAGTCTTGGCTTGTTGCTTGAGGCTTTTGGTGCGACAACGATTTCTTAGGTGTATATGGTGTGCACTCTAATCAATGCACAACTTTAACAATTTATTTGAAACTTCAAGTATCTTCACTTGAGAGCATCGTTTAATATTCCACACAAAATTGCGGGTAATCTTGAGCAACTGAGCATTGAGTCAGAAAGAGCGATTTTTCCTCCTTACCTTCGTCACAGAGACCAAGTGCCTCGTATGTTAGAAGCTCATTTGTGGAGAAACAGTCGTGGAGTTCCACAACATCAACATCTTTCACAGCCAAGCCTGTTCAAAATGTTATAACTAAAATTAAAACGATTCGTTATTATGACCAACAACGTACTTAGTTTTGACCAAGAGAAAATGAACTAAGAGAAGGAATCCCCGTGCTCCATCATGTGCACACTTTGATGCTATTTTTACAATCATTGATGCTATTTTTAGCTCGTTACCATGCCCGCTCGATAATCGTGTTTCCTTTAATGCCTCGTTTTAGGACACGAAAAGCGACAAAAACACAGGCTTTTGCTAACTGCGAGACTAGAAGCCGCCTACCCTATCAACCAATCAGATTCTTCGCTCAAAATATCTCCAAGCTAAAAATAGCATCAAACTGTGCACATGATGGTTACAAGGCTATATAGGTAGGATTCCTTCTCTAGCTTAGTTCATATTCTCTTGGTTATAATTATTATCATTACACCACCAATATCTTTATCCTGCACCACCACCATTAATATTATCGTCATCACCATTTTCTCCATCATTACCGAGGACCAATGTTATCAATCTGGTAATAAAGTTGTTGTTGATGGTATTTATGTTGTTGTTGTTGTTGTCGTCGTCGTCATCATCATCATCATCATCATCATCATCACTGCCACTTACCTGCTTTAGAGAAGAGTCTCTCAGCAGCGGCTTTGGTCATGTCATAACCAACCTGCAATAAAAACAGTAAGGTCACACATGCCGCATATTTTTGAAAACGGAATTTTTCTTTATGCATTTCATTCCGTCCTCGCGTATCCGGTGAATAAAACGAAACTTTCGAAAACAGATACGTGTGGACGAGAATGGGAACGGGAGGAAACAGGACTTTGATAAAGGGGGGTTCCAAAATGGCCGCCACGCAGAAAAAGCTGGTAAGATTGGCTTCACAAAAGGGGGGTTCCAAAATGGCCGCCACGCAGAACAAGCTAGTAAGATTGGCTTCACAAAAGGGGGGTTCCAAAATGGCNGGCTTCACAAAAGGGGGGTTCCAAAATGGCCGCCACGCAGAACAAGCTAGTAAGATTGGCTTCACAAAAGGGGGGTTCCAAAATGGCCGCCACGCCGGACAAGCTAGTAAGATTGGCTTCACAAAAGGGGGGGTTCCAATTTCATTCTACTGGGAGTAAAGAACATGATTAGCTTCAAAAGATCTTACAAGGGGGGGGGGGGGGTTCCATGGAACCCAAAAGAACCACTCCTGGAAAGGGCGGATCCAGGGGGGACTTCAGCCCCCCTTCAGCAGAAAAAAAACTGAAAAATTAGATGCTTTTTTTTATTGTTTTCCGTTGTGTTGACAGAAAAAACTCAATTAGCCCCCCCTAAAATTTTGGCTGGACCTGCCCTTGCCTGGATCTACCACTGGGCGGGACATAAAAGATCCTAAAATGAATCGTGTGGACGAGATAAGTTTTTTTGAAAACAAAATAAAGCAACCGTTTTCAATTTCAAATATTCAGATACGTGTCCACAGGACCCTAGGAGTTTTTTCCAATCTTTTAAAGGTATTATTTAACTAACCATTTTGATGCAGCTATTGTCCTCAAAGGTACTCCTAAAATCAGTAGCCATCTCCATGCCAACGATTTCCACTGCCTTGTCTTCTAGATGATGCTTCTTGACAAAATCTTCACTGGCTAGAACAGCAGCAGCGCTACCATCTGACGTAGGACTGATAGATAAGAAAAAGGTTGATTATTGTTATAATACTTAAGAAATTTAGAAAAGGTACGTCTTTTATCGGTTGGGAGGGCTGTGGGATTCGCAGTAAACTTCTTTAAAATGGTTGCAGCCCTTCTCCTCTTACTCAGTAAGAATTTCACGACCCTTCTATTAAGCCAACAACTCTAGGAAACAGCTTTCGTCGAATTCACCTTTTCGGCGCTAGCCGTCACGTGGTATAAATTGCGTTGGATTGTGTGACGGTCACCAAGAAGTTCGTACATTGTTCTCGGATTCCCATACAAATTCACTGAGTTTAAGAGAAAATTTAGATAGATTTCTTTAGTTAATTCTCTAAATACAAGTAAAATACCATTTTTCTAGCTTGATTGAAGCTTTTCTTACTGCTGATAAGAGAGCTCACTAATGGAATCTATCTAAATTTTCTCTTTAAAGTCAGTGAATTTGTATGGGAATCCGAGAACAATGCCCGAACTTTTTGGTGACCGTAACACAATCTAACACAATTTATACCACGTGACGGCTAGCGCCGAAAAGGTGAATTAAAAAGCTTTGGCCTTCCACAAAAGTTTGATTTTTTCTGATGACTCGACCTACTGAGTCCCTAGCGCTCTTCCTCAAATAAAAAACCAACCGAACACGAGAGAAGCATATTAAACCACGAAGGGTAGCGTTTTATATTTCTTTAAAAAATACAAGCGCACAAATTAACGAAATTTTTTTTTGCGGATACGAAAATGTTCGCGTCCGCACGCAGCGTATTCGAATCGTTTTCACCGTCCACACGTATCCGTTTTCGTAAAATTTGCGGATATGGACACAAAAATTTGCGGACACTTGTGAACGCAACCCGTATCCGTAAAAAAAAAAAAAAATTGCGGATACAAAAATTTCCGGATACGTGTTGACAGGGYCTTATTAATTTTCCTTATGAAAGTTCAACATACCAAATCCACTTGGGCGTAACGTTTTCCCATTTCAGACAACGTGTTATTTTCTACACTGTCTTCACATGCGCAACCGTTAAACAAAGAAGTTATACTCTAGGGAATGACACGTGGTCTGAAATTGGAAAACAGTGCATTAGGTCTATCCTGAGCGCGCGAGCGGGGAATAAATGACGCATTACCAGCATTGTAGTCTTGTAAGTGGGTCATACACCATGGGAGAGTTCTTGATCTCGTTTAGAGAATATTCTTTCTGGAACTGGGAATTCCTAAATTAGTAAAAAAAAACAATTGTTAGTTCATATAATGTAGTTTAATCAAACTATATAAAACTTATTTTTATATGCTCTTATTTAGTTACTTCAGTTGAAATACAACTGCAATCAATAATGGCCGACAGTATGCACTTTAGCCCGCTCTCTCCATCAGCGCTCTATTTCAAGAGCATTCAAAGCTGAAGCTACAAGGAGTCGAAACAGACGGGGAGATTCCGAGGATAGAGGCAGCCATGACCTGAAGCCCCGTTAACACTAACGATTTTTGCTGCGATTTTTGCGATTTTGTCCATAATAAATAATGGTAAAGAATTTACTTGTAAATTTTTTTCCGGATACCAAGATTTTCCTAGACGAATGTCTCTTTTTAAGGATGAGACAAAAGATTTCATATCTCCGAAAATTGCCACAAAAATAGCAGCAAAAATCGCCGCAAAAATCGCCAGTGTAAACGGGGCTCGAGGCAGGAACAATTAAATCTGGTCTAATGTGATTTACATGAGAAAAAACTCAGTTTCCCAGGAGAGAGACTCTATTGTTGATGAGTGCAACACCCTATGCCACCACCATCAATAGGCTTTTTGCAACAACAGTCACGTGCTGATATATGACCTTGATAACGAATCATTTCAGCTCAGGGTACCTTGGGAAAGGCCCTGCTGGATGGCAAACAAACTATAAACTGCTTCGTATCTTGAAATCGAAAGTATTTCATGGGAAAAAGGGAAAAAAGCATTTTTGAAAAGTTTTTAGATATGACATTAGTAATCCAGCAAAAAACCTTTAAATAAAGGAAGTCCAAATTTTTTGCAATCAAGTAACAATCAAGTGTCAATGTAATGCAAAAGGCCTTTTTCCAATGGGATTTGAAGCCATTGCCCCAAGATTATTACCCCAAGTGAACTAAAAGTTGATATTGAAGCCTCAATCAGAATGAGCTAGAGTAAATTTCTCCAAGGAATTCGCGGCTTATTCACCTATTGGGCACTCTTAGACCCAACGGGATTAATGAACATTTTGTTTTTAACTAACCCACTCTTTTGTCTTTTGATTATTTCATTCGTTTCCTTGCCCACCTTGTTCTCATTGGTTTCTTTTGTCTTATCCTCATCACATAAACTCTCCTTTCTACCACTTTCTCTTTTACTCCGACGAAGGACTAGCATCTGAAACGTCAGTAAGTTTTTTCATTTTTTCCTACTTTCACGGTGTAATAATTTACCTTTTTACCATTACAATATACCCTTTTATCATTACTAGTTCGTATTCTGACAATATTGAAAATAAGTCTAAGGATGGGACTTACGGATTGTTGACAGAATGTAGATGGTTCTTGTACGCTATTTTTGCAAAATGTTCAGGAGATGTTCCTAAAAAAAATGGAAAAACGAAATTCTTAATTAAAAAACTATAGACCCCCACATCAAAGCAGCTCAATCTGGGACCAAGACAAAGGAATTACTCTCTTCTCATGAGAATTGGAACCTATTGTTTTGTCCTCCAGATCAGGGGCGGATCCAGGGGAGGGGTGCAAGGGGTGCACACCCCTCCCTGGTTCGACTTTGTGCCCCTACTTCGAAGATAACCAATACTGTTTTTTCCCTTTGATTCTAAGGGGTGCACCCCTCCCTGGGTTAACTTTGTGCGCAGCACCCCACCAGTGTCTCGTAAAAAGTCCCATAACTCAGTGCACGTGTTACACATTTATCAGTTTTCTTTTCAACCTATGAAAAAAAAAGCACCTTACAAAAAACCATTCTTAGTTGGTGACAAAATGACACTTCCTTCCTTCCTTCCTTCCTTCCTTCCTTCCTTCCTTCCTTGATTACCCTGGCTATTCAGACAATTAATCATTCATCATATACCATATTTCTCCATGTGTTCTTTACCAGCATTACCAAACATCTGCGGTGTAACAGGAGCAGCTGCAAACTCATAACGATTCATCATCACCTCCATGTGTTTGTCCATAGGTGAAGTACGATCAGTGTACTACAACAAGAAGTATAAACAACAAGTATAAAATAATAGAATACATTTATAATCGTTCTCATTTTACAAGGGTAGTTAACCAATTTCCTCCAGTTTTTGATCCGTGGTATGTTCCCTTATTTACTACAATTTTCGTCATCTAGCCGTCAAAATGTTGGGAAGTCCCCAATATATTTTGATGGCTAGATGACAAAAAAAGTAAAGGACAAATAAGAGGACAAATAAGAGGACATACCAAGGAAAACTGAGGAAATTGCTTTTTTAAGACAAAAAATTTAAAAGCATTTTTCTAAACACTTTTTTAATGAAGAGAATAAACTATAGGGTTGTATTTGATTTACCTTAGCACCAAGAGAACCTCGTTCCATCTTTTCAAACCCAAGAGCTAGAACACAATCACTGGCACCTAGGCAGACCAAAAAAAAATCAACCTACGAATAAATTATTCTATAAAATTTGTGAACAGTAATTAACCAAATCAGTTAACATTTTCTGATTTGAAACTGGTAAACAGTCCCCTTCACAGTTCTGTATACATAACTGTGTTGTTGCAGCAAAGCAAGAAGAACAGCAGTCACCTTGCAATGATATAAATCTTTTCACACCTTGGACAATAGACCAGTTTTGAATTCCAAATTACCGCTGTGTTCCTGTGTTCCCGTATCAGTGTTTAAATATTCACAAATACCAACAGAAAAATAAAGAATGCACAACTTCAACAATACAAACATTTTGAAACTCGACGGACCTTGACTGGAACACGTGAATATTCTGCACAAACTCGAGGCTAACCCTGTGCAAATGAGTCTGTAATCAAGAAACACAGCGGTAATTTGGAATTYRAAACGGGTCTATTATGCACATCTCATGATTATTAATTATATTCATAACTTTATAGAATGATAAATTTGTGAGTTGAGCGTTGTGTGCATAGATTATTTTCAATGTAGTTGTAGTGTGTGCAAGTGAAAAGTGTCCCCAGTTAGTAAGTGCTAGAACAAATACACACTTAAATTAAAGTGATTTATTTATTCATTATTCTAATATTATTCACGTGTCTATTATGCCTCATGATTCAAGGTTCATAAAAGATTTCAAATATGAAATTAAACATACCTCCCTCGACAAACTGTTTAGCCAGAAAGAGTGCACTTGATCCAGTTGCACAAGCATTATTGACCTGAAAACATTATTATCCATGATGATGTAGTTAGAGTTTTTGCACTGAACCCTGAATCAGCCTCTGGGCTAATCTAAGTCAGGGCATTGCTACATTGGGTATTGCAGATGGAGTGAAATCAGGGAACCCAGAGAAAACTTCTTATATTCAGGGACCAACAAACTCTGCCAACATGCATTGCTTTGTCYAGGAATTGAGGTTTGCACCATGACATGATGGCAGCCATGTTAGATAGCAAAAACAATACCATCCTTTTATATGAGAAAGAATTCAATTTCCAAAGAGCAAAGGGATTTTATTGTTCTGTATAACTACAGGCATTCCAAGCTGTATTATGGATGCTGGTACATGATGGTGCAAAACATAAAAAACTTACTTTAATGCTGCCATATACTTACATTATAAATGGGGATCCCTGTCAAACCAAGCTGGTACAAAGCCCTTTGACCACATGTTGTCTCACCTAAATTTAGAAACATTATACAATTATTGGATGAGGTTGAGCGTGATATAGTGAATTATCAAGACCAAGGCCGTGTCAGCAGGAAAACCTTCAGATATTGCATTTATCATGTTGAGTTCACAGGATATCAAGGATTGGCCGTGGGCTGTCGGCCAGTGAGAAGTCAGATCGTGAGTAAAGCGATAATAATATTCAATAACATTGTCGGGGATGGAAATAACATCTGGTCAGTTTGCCAGTCATGGTGATTGGTCAAATTAGTTTTAGCTTGGTATATCTTGTTTCTGGCTAAACGTTACTGGTAAAAATGACAGGCAAGATTTGACCAGACAAGTACCAATCCAGGATGGATGTTATCTGATGACCAGCTGTTATTCTCATTAGCTCTGCATGTAGTTAGGCTTTAAAAAGTTTTAAAGTTAACTCCATCTCCCTCACGCCTCCCTAGTTCGGCTGTGTTCATAATGTATGGCAGGGGGGGGGGG